GTAGCCAAGTGGCGGAAGGCTTTCACATGGGTGGTCTCCAAATCTCATCTCTGCTTTTTGCAGATGATGTGGATCTGTTGGGTTCAACAGGTGATGGCCTCCGGCTCGCACTGGAACAGTTGAAGAGTCCTCAACAGGTACCATGGTCATCAAAAGTCATTTCAAACAGTGTGAAGAGGTGGGAATGAGAATCAGCACCTCCAAATCTGAGGCCATGGTCCTTGGCCGGAAAAGGGTGGAGTGCCCAATCTGGGTTCCTGTTCTAAGTGGAGGAGTTTAAGTATTTTGGGGTCTTGTTCATGAGTGACAGGAGAAGGGAGCGGGAGATTGACAGACATATTGGTGCTATGGCTGCAGTGATGCAGACGCTGTACCAGTCTGTTGTGGTGAAGAGATAGCCGAGTGTAAAAGCAAACTGTTTTTTACCAGTCAAATTACGTCTCTTCCCTCACCTATGGTCACAAGCTGTGGGTAGTGACCGAAAGAATGAAATCATGGATACAAGCGGCAGAAATGGGCTTCCTCCGAAGGGTGGCTGGCTACTCCCTTAGAGATAGTGGAGTTTGGTGAAATCTCCCAACATTACCCTTCCCATGGAGGCTGAGGAGAGTGATGGAGCGATAGATGTAACACATCCTCAGGCACCACTGCTTCCCACTTAGAAGCATGCCAAGCCAACTCTACAACATCCTGAGCCTTTAGGAATTCTTTCCCTTACTCATTCGCCTAACAATTTTCCAGAGTCGCTTAGAGACTATCGCTCGAGTCACGTTCCACTTGGCAGCTGCCTCCATTCAGACTCAGTTTATCCATTCTCCCTCAGAATGCTGTTGAAGTTTTGCTGGGGGTAGGAATTGAAGATCTATCAGACCAGGGCTTCCTCCAGACACTCCAAGGGCACCCAAGCATCCTCCCATGCCATCTGATCAAGCTCATAACCAAGTAACAATTAGTTGGCAGCACACCACCTCTCTTCTCCTGAGTGTCCAGAACATAAGGCGTATCTAATAATACAATTACAAAGCTGATGAACCTGTGGTTGTCTTGGTGTCACTTGTGGGCATCTGAATGTGGTGTTTGTTATGGAAAACTGTCATAGGCACCGAAATCTAATAAACAGACTGCTATTCGGGTTCACATCAGGTAGGCTGATCCATAACCATAGAAGGGCCTACCTTTAATGGCTTGTTTTAATTAAGTAGGAGTGTCTATATGGTATTTTATAATGCTATTTCCTCAGGCAGAATAACATTTCTCAAAATGCATAGCTAACCTCACCTGGTCCAACAATAACGGATAGAGTTACTTAGTGAGAGTTGTTAAGCTTTGAACTGAAAGTGGAATAACTCTTAGTTGACAATAATATGAGCTTCTGTCACATAATTTAGGGAGGGTGCTGCTGCTGCTTCGCTTTCTCCGGCTTTTTTTCTGAATGATGCAAACAAAAAAGAAGCTTTCATTTCACAGTTGCCAGGGCCCCTCTTAGGTGGTGACTTCCACTTCCCCCACTACAACTACTGATAACAAATGTGAGAAACAGCTTCTTCTCTGAAACTGTCAGACTTAAACTCTGCCAAACATTTTCTCGAACAAATACAGACATACCAGGGACTCACTATGTGCAATAACAATTTCCTGGTAATAAACCCTTGTTGTGTGCAATAAAGATCTATAGCAGTACACAGGTTTTTGCACACCAGCAACCATTGCACTTCAAATTGTTCATGTGTTATTTATATCTTTTTTCCTTATCTCTTCTTTTTTTTTT